AGATATATTGAAGAAGGCTGAAAAACATAAACGTCTAAATACTGTAAAGAAAACAAGAGAAATGATGATATTCGTCTAAAGAATTCAGAGATTAATTGAAGTACTTAAACAAGGCCGAAGAACATAAACATCTAAATACTGTAAAGAAAACAACAAAGATGACGATATTCATCCAAAGAACACTGAAGTTACTTTATCCGAAAACATTAGACGATAATGAAGAAGGCTAAAGAACATGTCCGCCAATATACTGTAAGGAAAACAACAAAGATGACGATATTCGTTCAAAGAATTTATAAAATAATGAAGTACTTTAACCAAAATATTCTGATAATATTTAAGAAGGCCGAAGAGCGTAAACGTCAAAATACTGTACGCAAAACAATAAAGATGGCGTTATTCGATCAAAGTATCCAGTTAATAATTGATGTACTCCATCTCAGAACTGAAAAAACAATAGCGCTCGCCCGAGTAATCTCATGAAATATTGTCTCACTCCTGTATAGTATAGAAAGAAAAAAAAATTTCATTTTTAGATTCATATCTAAATAAAAAAAAAAATACCGGATTCATTATAAAATGCGACCAGTAGGACGTGTAGGAAATTTCTTCACATTAGTCCTGCCTTTCTCTTTCACAGTCGGAGATGAGAAGATATTCAGAAAACATCAATTATATAACCAGTAAGCTACACTAACGCCCTCTAGGTATCGTTGCAGTCGTTATTGTTCAAAATCATTACTGCGTTCTTACAGAAGAACCTGAGTTGGGGGAAAAATCCACAATGTGCATTGAATAAAGTTCGATATCTTGTGGAAAGTAACAGATTCATGTCGGTTCCAATATTCACACAACAAAAGCAATATCGAGCAAAAAAAAAAAAATGACTTTGAACCCGGTTCAATAATATCGTATTACCTGACACTAATACACGAAGATGACGGAATCATGCCCGCAAAATATTCAACGTAACATTAAACCCGGCTCAATAACTGATCCGTACACATTCGGTAGCGAAAAATTCAATAAACGTTGATCTTGGCTCAATAATCAAAATATTCCTCCCTTTAGTAACCAGAACTAAATCCAGTAACAAAGAGGGATGATAAATACGGGGACTGCCGATTATGTACAAAATTCTAAGAAACGTTAAGGTATGTTTAAATTTAATATATATCTGAAATCCTAAACGTAAATTTGTTTCGATTCAAGGACAATAATAGAGGCACCGAGTAGAGGTTAAACTCCCTTCTCACTGCCAATTAATTGTGGAGCCATTTTACTAAGAATTACACATGGAGAATGTCTTATATATATATATAATTATTTATTAGGGTCGGTTTAGTACGAGGTAACAAATAAAACGCCATCATCATTAGTGTTATGGTAATTTACCCACGTATGCATGGACTCTCCCAGCTATAAATAGGAGCAGGTACTGCCTTTTGGAGAGGGAAGATTTCAGCAGACAGCTCTGACAGTCGGACCGAACATCCTTGCTGTAACACTCTCGTTTGTATATGTTTTTATTACTGTTTCTGTTAATATATTTGTTTAATTGTTTTCCGCTCTTTGTGTCTTTATTTCTGGCCCTAACAATGCGACAACAGATAGATAGATAGATAGATAGATAGATAGATAGATAGATAGATAGATAGATAGCGTTATAGTAATTTAACCACGCAGGCATGAACTCTCCCAGCTATAAATAGGAGCAGGTACTGCCTTTTGGGGGAGGGAAGATTCCAGCAGTCAGTTCTGACAGTTGGACCAAACATTATTTCTGTAACACTCTCGTTTGTATATGTTTGTATTACTGTTTCTGTTAATATATTTGTCTAACTCCATTCCTTCCTTATATCTTTCTTTCTGGCCCTAACAAGACCACAACACAAATAAAACGCCATCATCATTAGTCTCTGCTTTCACCAGCTCCACGTTGCAAACTAATCGGATATATTTGTTGCTATATAAAAACTTCCACCAAATATTACAAGAAATATGCCTCAAGATGAATATCCTCTAAAAGTGTTCCAAGAAATACGGATCAAGATAAATATTCCCTACACAGAAGAGTTCCAAGAAATAATGCACAAGATAAACACCCACTAACAATTGTTTCAAGAAATAGGACTTTAAATAAAACCATCCACCTAGTATTCGAATAAATAAGGTTCAAGATAAATGTCATCTACCAAGTGTCCCAAGAAATAGGTCTCTAAATAAACACCGTCTACATAGTTTTCCATGAAATAAGGACCAAGATATATATCCTCTACCAAGTGTTCCAAGCAATTGGTCTCTAGATAAACACACTTCTACCTAGGGTTCCATGAAATAGGGATCAAGATAAATATCCTCTACCAAGTGTTCCAAGCAACTGGGCTCTAAATAAATACCCTCTACCAAGGGTTCCATGAAATAGGGATCAAGATAAATATCCTCTACCAAGTGTTCCAAGAAATAGGCCTCTAAATAAACACCGTCTACATAGTGTTCCATGAAATAAAGATCAATATAAATATCCTCTACCAAGTGTTCCAAGCAATTGCTCTCTAGATAAACACACTTCTACCTAGGGTTCCATGAAATAGGGATCAAGGTAAATATCCTCTACCAAGTGTTCCAAGCAAATGGTCTCTAAATAAACACCCTCTACCTAGTGTTCCATGAAATCAAGATCAAGATAAATATCCTTTATCCTTGAAAAAGGTCTCTAAATAAAGCTTGGGGAGTAAGTAACACTCGAATATTTATTGCTCAAAGTAAAGTCCGATAATGTTATACGTATTGCTCAAAGTAGAGTCCAATAGTGTTATAAAAATATCGGGGAATTCCAGTAAGATATCTTTAATCATTTTTAAGATACAAGGTTTCAAAGCTTAATCTAACAAATAAACAATTTTGCTTTTACATGGTTTGGACCATTTTGCTGTTACACCGGTAAATACACACACACACACACACACACACACACACACACACATATATATATATATATATATATATATATATATATATATATATATATTGTCATCCACAGACAGACTGTTTCGCTATATCACAGCTCATCCGTGTGGCTAGACATCCGGTTGCCTCTAGCTAGATTGAAACCCGACTGAATTGGCATCAGTCGGGGATGAAGGGGAATTTAAGCGCATTTAGTTTTAGATAAACACACAGTAACTGAGAGAACTCGATTCGATTTACCGAAGATTCTTGCTATAATAGCCGTAATAGTCACTGTTTACAAACCCACACTTCCTACCCAGAGAGCTCAAACGAAATAAATTTTTCAGGAGTGTATATATATATATATATATATATATATATATAGATAGATATTAAATATACCATCTCCTGTGGTGAATGCTATTTTATTTGATATGGACTGTTTATTTTGTATAATAACAGATTCTAGTGATCTGGTTTTTTTCTTGCATTGAGTACTGTAAAGTATTTTGGTGTTATCTACTAATATTTGTCTTATGATGATAGCTGTATTTTGGATATTCATAATGTGCTGGTCGATATGTGGACAAACAGGTTACAGTTCAACCTATCAGAGTGGTTCCCCCGTGTGTGCCCAATGTAAGAATTTGACGCAGTTTTTCGTTATTAATAATAGTGGAGACGCAATCTCCCAGAGTGCATGAGAATTCATGAACAATATTATTATTAGTACTATGTTGTTGGTATTGGTAATACCAAAGCGAGGCACGGTGGAGTAATGGATAGCGGCTCGGATTGAGGAATCGGAGAGCCGAGTTCGAATTCCAGTCAAATTCATTACTTTCACATACGTGCTTATACACTTGTTCAATACCTGGTTAAGGCAGTGAAGAACTTTCAGAGGGAAATTAACAGGAGATAACTGATAACTGACATCCATTACACATGGTTTCGACATTCCAACCACCTGAAGAAGCGTACAACGGCCGAAACGTTGTAATAAATATGGCGGCAAAGATGGGGAATAATGTCCGAATAATGTAAATAATGCACATGATACCTCTGAAATATATACAGATACTGAAGACAGAATTTATTTAAAGCTACTAAAGACAGGACGCCGCGGAGAATCATGATCGCCTACGTCCTGAGTGGGGGCACAAAAAAGAAGAAAACTATGTCTATAGTTCCTTTGACCGGTATATTAGTGAATTAGATTTCAACATCTAACAAGGCTAGGATGCCGTTATTTGGTAATAATAATCTGTAATAATGACTGCAATATCACGAGGAATTCGCTCTTGTAATTAATGTAACATTGTAACGGTTACATTGTACTTACTAGATAGGTATGCTAGTATCGATTGGTTTAAGGTTCTGCTAATTGGTATACGAGGATTGGGATTTGTGAGATTATGTGGCGATAAATATATAGTAGATAAATATATAGGATACTTATTTGTCTTCTGTTGCGTAGTAAGACTGACTTAGCTTCTCTATACTTATTGAAACATGGACTCGTAGCTATGAGTAAAACGTCTCCTCGTGGAAAATGAGTCGCTTGACACAATGAACTACTGTATACTCAATGCATGTTCTCATGTGATTAAACCCTTCTTTACTCGACCTTTTGTTACAGTGTTTTCCTTACAGTCTTACTAACCAGCAAATATGAGTGTTATACAAACTTATAACAGCTTCCTGGATATTTGAGAAACCCACGTTTCCTCTGTCGTCGTTGTTCAGTCACAGGTGAAAACGAGGATTACTGATTTTGATTATCGAAGGCAGGAAATCCCTTTTCACGTGGAAGACGAGCTCAACACAATATTCCTCTTCCTACATCCGTCCATGTGTTATGATGTTTTAAGTATCACAAGTTTTTGTTTTTTTTTTTTTTTTGTTTTTTTCGTTATGGCAGAATACAATCGATTTTCGATCTTCTCAGTACCTGATCCGAATGACAATTTCAGAACGAGGCGGATCTTAACAGAGAATTTTTTTTTTTTTGCTTCGCTTAAAAAAGAAAAAGTAAAACACATTCAATGATGCATGACAAGTTGTAAGGCGGTTGTCACAGTAACATCAGAACGGTTACATCGGAAAAAAGTCGAACGGATCGATATCAATTATTAATAGAGGCGTTCAAGTTATCTTCTCTCTCTCTCTCTCTCTCTCTCCCTCTCTGCTTCCTCACTCTCTCCCCTTCTCTCTCTTCTTCTTTTCCTCTCTCCCTCTTCATCTGTCTCCTCATTTCCTCTCTCTCTCTCTCCCTATTTCTCCCGCTATTCTCTTCCATCTCTCTTATATATCTCACCAACTCTCCTCACGCTCTTCCCTTATCTCCTTTCCTCTCTCTCTCTCTCTCTCTCTCTCTCTCTCTTTTATTCTGCTCTCTCTCTCTCTCTCTCTTTCCATTTCTCTCTACTCTCTTCTTCTCCCTCACTTCCATCTATCCCCTTCTCTCTCCAACTCTCCCTCTCGTCTCTATCTTCTTCTCTGTCCTCTATTCCTCTCTCTTTCCATTTATCTTCCCTCTCTTCTTTTCCTTCTGTTTCATCTCTCTCTCCACTCTCTTCCCTTCTCTCTCTTCCTCTCTCTACAATCTAACCTTCTCTCTTTCTCTCTCTCTCTCTATTTCCCTCCTCCTATCTTCTACATCTTCTTCCATCTTTCTCTCTCTCTCTCTAACACATACCTTTTCTCTCTTACTTTCTTTCACTCGCCTAAGTGTTCCAACTTGTAATCTTACATGTTGCTTGCGAGTCGATACCGCTATCAAAAAAAATTCAAAAGTCTTATAAAGTAAATAGCACAGAAACAATACAGCTGTAAAGTAATTTGGAGCGACAATTAATAGAAAGAATATGATCAAGTGATGATGTCACGTGATTGTGTTCTGCTACATTTCAGGTCAATTTTGTAAGTATTGAGTTGGCGGGAATTTTTTTTTTTCTTTTTAAAGAATTCTTTCCATGTTTGATTTTGCAGCCGACACTTTATCACCCGATTTGTTTCTCGTTTATTCAATTATTCTACGTTTTGTGTCTTTTGGAGTGAAAAGAAGAAACCATTTTTTTCATTTTCTTATAGTCAGTATAAAAATGAAATACAGTCATTGACTGTTAATACCAGTTTTATTACTTATGGGAAAATTAATGGATTTATTAGAAAATATATATATATGTGTGTGTGTGTGTGTGTGTGTGTGTGTGTGTGTGTAATTATTACTATTATTTAAAAATATATATTCATCTCGACACAGAAATTACTATATATCGAAACCAAAAGCTAAATCTTAAATTTAACTTAAAATTTAAAGTTTTTGTTTCATTTTCAAGCGATATTGAATATCTTTCGAAAAATGATTTAAGCTGATCGGGGAATGAGATAACAAAATTTTTAAGGGAGTGTTGGGTTTTTTGACGAATCATTCAAAGCATAATTTAAAGTGGCAAAGTAAATATCGATTAAAGGTTAGGTGTGGGTTTGTAAATTCTGTCTGTTGATACTGGCTTCCTTATATGAGAACGTGTCATCACTGTCTATTGTTTTAAGATACACTGCAATACAATTGACATTTTTTATTTATTTTCTTATTTCATAAAATACATTGAGATTTTCTTAAAGGGGCTTTCAAATATGATTAAGTCATATTGCTTTATATTTTTATTTATAAAGATCTAAAATACTATATTTATTATATCTATTATTAAACTATATACGGTATTGTAAAATTAAAATATTAGAAATTAACTTTCTTACTTTCTTATGCTTGATCAAACAATCAATATATAATTATGCAATTTTTTTATAATTAATTATTTTCTAAGGAAAACATATTACAATGTCTACAAAAAACTGTTATTTCATTTCTTTAATTTAATCTTTTATTTTTCAGAAACATAATAATACATAACTTTTATATACATATGTATGTATGTATGTATATAGAAAAGAATATGTATATATATATATATATATATATATGTGTGTGTGTAGAAAAGAATCTAAATAACATTTGTAATTTTAAACTAAAATTCCCTAGTAACCACTGCCGGCAATGACGATAAACAAGATACAGAACACTAGCTAGGCAGTCAGTTATTAATACGCAGAATTATTTTTAGGGAAAATCGCCGAAAATGGTTTCACATAAGCATTAACGGCAAAGAGTTCGAGACTGAGTACTTCAGAAATCGGTTTTAAAAATATCCCTGCTGCAAAGTCTGGTACTTTACTTACCTTCTCGTTAAAAGACGGACGACATATATACGGGACTCTACCGTCGTTTTCGACGTAGGAAGGTACAACTCGGTTCTTAGAATCAAACATCGAGTACTATTCACAAATATGATTTGATTATAGTGGCGAAGACTTGTGAAGAGACCACCAGACTTTGATGAAGAGCCGAATACAGAGGACTGATAAACATAGTATGACACAAGGTCAACGAACGACCTTCCTTAGGTTTTGAAATCAGATTTGTTCTTCTTCTAAACCAGATGACACCCAAAGCAATACGACTCAGTGTGTCCTGCCATTTACCTATATTATATATATATATATATATATATATATATATATAGTAAAAAAAAAACTTTTTGTAGTCGTCAAAAACAAAGAAAAAAACAAATTGAAATTCAGTGCAATACGATTTGTATATAAAACACCCACTTGAATAAACAAATAAATAAATAGATAATCAGATGGACAATAATAAAAGACAATTCTCCAGACACATAACGACTTGTAGGCGCGCCATAAAAATATCCCTCACTGGGAACCAACTAAGGGGTGACCGCAAACTTTAGCCTTGAAATAGATACCCCACCCAACCTTAGCAAAACCTCTCAGAAGATGATGAATCTATTGATAAGAATTAACTCTCTGACCACTTAACGAAGGAAAATAGTCTAGCCACTCCCACAATAACGAATTTTATAACGAACCATGCCTAAAAACACACGTAAACCGAGAGATAGCTTATTCCTAAAATTTCGCTTGAAGATGAAACGGGACTAAACACCTCAATTCAACTTAATTTTAATAATTATTTGGATGGTTTCGGCTCTCGTTTTTGAACATGAGAACTCTTATGTAGCGAAGGAATCATATTTTTAATCAAAAAATATTATTATAATAAAGCTCTACTTCTGTATGGAGCAGTGTCTTCTTAAAAATAAAAACAAAAATACTAAGGAACCCCGGATTATGCACCCAACGTGTTCTTTTCTATTTTCTGCATACCTGCGCTTATATATATATATATATATATAGATAGAGAGAGAGAGAGAGAGAGAGAGAGAGAGAGAGAGAGTAAAGTAATGAAAATCTTGGTCATCCGTATGGATAATCCCAAGGTAGATGAAATCCGGAGAGCTCAATGCTAAGTCAGAGCGAATAATTTAATTTAAAGAAAAACAGACCACTTTAAGGTTCCGTTGTTATAATTTATTTCACCAGAGAGTTTCTTTTTCTCTGGATCATCAGACTTCACTTCCAAGGATTAAAAATGAATTTAAACTTACACTTTTGAAGGGCAGTATTAAGTTTATTTAAGGTGATCATTTGAGAAGACAGCGTGGCTGACACAAAAAAAAACTTTAACCTGTTCTCTAGCTGAATGACTCAATGGGTTTCTCAATGATTTTTACAGGTAGTGTCAATTTAGCTAAATCTCTTATCTGAAAACCTGGCATAAAAGTAACTTAATTAGTCTTGTTTTTATTTAGATATTAAACATTTTGTGGGATAGACAATTATTCTCTTACAAGATTTGGACAATTTTGCTGTTACACCCGGCATATATATATATATATATATATATATATATGTGTGTGTGTGTGTGTGTGTGTGTGTGTGTGTGTGTGTGTGTGTGTGTGTGTGTGTACGAGAGTAAGTTAAAAATAACCCACTCTTTCACCATAACATATCTTAAGTTTGTCACACTGCCTTCTGCTCATACGTGCTTATAGTTGGTACTATTGTGGTCACGTGTTTGAAGATTCAACTTGATCGCGCCAGTTTTCTTGCTTCTGTTACTGTGTAAACATGGCCGCTCTGCTAGCAGTGTTCACCAAGCAAGAACAAAGAGCAGTGATTCGAATCTGCAGAGAACATGCTACCTCATCGACGATAAATCGACGGTTCACCATTACTATCTTGATGAATCTTCTCGTCAGTTATGGAGGTTGACAGGCGTCCTTCTACTTCTTTATGCGCTACACTTTTCCGGACACTTTTAAACTTCTTGGTACAGTCATACACACTTCTACGCAATAGTGAAATGTATTTGTATTGTGTTAAAAGCCTCTGGTGAATTTCAGCTCCTGACACAACTTCCGAGCAGAGAAATCGTATCACTGCTCTTTGTTTTTCCTTGGTGCACACTGCTAGCAGAGCGGCCATGTTTACACTGTAACAAAGGCAAGAAAAGTAGCACGATCAAACTCAAACGGTTCTTTCTAAAATCTATTTCAACACTATACTCCTAACGTCTCCGCTTAAACACTGAAATTTTCTTTACGATTTTTTCCTCAATAAGAGTAGATAGGTTTGCCTATCATCCAATTCAAACTCCTCCTCCGTCTTTTGAATGGGAAAAATAGGTTTATCTCTTGTTGCCTGTTTAAGAATGGGTTTCATTTGATAAATGAATTATTTATTGAAATGAGTGGCACGAATTAAATCTTTACCGTTCAGGTTTATTTTAATCAGGACCATGGCCCACTGTTAGATGGAGGTGACGATGACACCTGTGATAATCAGGGCAAATAATGGTGAGATTCTGGAACATGGAAAATGTTCCACTGAAGGTGGATGTGAGCAATACAAGGTCACGTAGCTTTTCGTCCCCCCCCCCCGACACAGGGCCATTATTTTGATTGGCCTACCAACCATATTGGGTTCTAAGGCTTTCCTTCCTCCTTTTTGATGAGTATGTCACAAGACCATTGATCTAGCATTATTATTGGTTAACCAATCAGAGCAATCGCCAAAAGAGAAAATGCAAGATCGAACGTCTTGCCGCTAGCAGACCAACACTCGCCCCGCCGGATGACCGTGGTACCTCAATCAGCTAAAAACTTGTTCTCTACGCTGCATCGGTCAACTGCCTTCATTTAAATAGTTGAATGACTCTAGGCTGTTTAGCCATAACTACAACCTCCAGCCAACCTCTTCCCAGCTTAAGAATTCCTTATACGGGGGACTTCTTCAAATTCCTTTTGTTTATGTTGATCTTAATCAAACATAGTACTATCAAATTGCTACTTGTACACTTGTTAATGAGTGTTGTTGAAGTTAATTAAGTTTACCGGTGACTTTAGCCATTCGCAAGCATAGTCAGAACAGAAAGGAGTCAAACCTGATCTTCGACATTTCTTCACTGATATTCCTGCGAATACTGAAACACAACGTGTGGACGCCGGATTGGGGCAGAGCAGGCTCGCTGGAGACGGACCATAGTAAGAGTGACATTCAGCGAAGCATGCAGAAACAAAGCCACACTCCTCAAGTGACGTGGTTTCTTTTATATGGTACGGTTGTTTGTGATTCTGTAGCGCCAGTCAGCAACGTTTAAGGAAGGATGACCCTCAATCTTTACTATTTCAAAGCCTTTTTTATATTGTTTAGATTTCGCTATATATATGGTGGGAGAGTGGTCAATATTGGAAATAGGGTGTTCGTAGACATAGAAATCAACATTGAAAGGTGACTGTCAGTTTCACGCTTTGACGTTAG